ATATCACTCCCCACTATTTTCTTTTTCCCTCTCCTCCTCCCTCCCCTGGTCCCTTTCCTCTACTCTACTAATCTCCCTTCAATTTTCATGAGATTTTAGAATTTCAGTTCTTTACTTCTCTAAAGCTTAAGTAGGAGCATCAACATCCAAAACATTGCTGGGTGTGTATGTTAGTGACAACCAGATATGAGTAAACATGCAGTCTAGTCCCATACCCATTGCAGAAATAAGTTGAAAGTCTCATTTGTTAAACTGAACTTTTTGAAAAGCTCTTTGATGTGGCTTCTTAAATTACCCAGCAGCGTAACTACAGTTTTACCGCATCACCCTTGATCCCTGGCAGCATGGAAAATCACCAGGCTTATGGAGGAGCAGCCAGGAAAGTGGAATATTTTGTATTTGTACTGACCATATTTGCTACATACAAGGATCCACTGTCATAGTTAGTTAGACATTCAGCCTCAGTAAGACACACAAGTCTAACTTTATGTCATCTTCCATTAACAAAACAATAACAAAACCAATTTAAAAATTTCTGAATTACTGGGTTTTCCCTAATGAAAAGGAAACAGTAAAACCACTTGTCCATTTGGTGACTCTTTAAAGTTTTCAAAGCATTAAGATGAAAAACATTATTTTGCTATCATATCTTCACCATCTTGGATAAAAATCTGTGTTTATTTTAAAAATAAAAAGTAACTGAGGGTCATTTTACTCTTCTCTAACTAATTACAGAACCAAGTTCAAGCCTGCCACACTGCATAGAAACCCACTAGGAAGATCTCAGATGAGGTGTGTGTCTAGTGCCTAGCACTCATCTTCAGAGAATTTCCAAATGCAGAACCCTTTAGTATCCCTCTCTTCTTGGGGACATGGTAGTAATGTTGTGCCAAGAGTATTTGTTGACTTGGTACTTAGCAATTAAAGAAAAACTTTTGCTGATATCTCACATACCACTTTGAAAACCAAGGAAAGTGACCTCTAACTCTACCATTTTTGCCAGTTATGCAATTCTGAATTCTGTATGAAATTCCCTTAGTGATGAAATATTGTCCTTATTTTTGCATATTTTGATATGGCTTCACATGTAAAAATACTTTGTCTGAATCACAGTGGGTACCAAGGCAACTAAAATGTTTTTAGGAATTATCTGTGCTAAAATATCATTGTTTCCCCATTCTCCAGCTTTATTATTTTAATGGTACTTATGACAATTGCAAATGCCTTATTCATCTTTAGACATTTAAGTCTCCCCAACTAGATTGTTAGATTTTTGAAGGCTTTTTCTCTACTTTATGTCTATCTCCTAAATCAACATACTTAATAAACTTTTGAAAATGAATATCTTTAAGAAAAATATAATAAATATATAAATATATTGAAAATCATGCATTTATAAAAAGTGTGATATATTGGAAAGGAGCAAAAGTTCTCAGGGATAGAACTCTGTATTTAAAGTTGACATGAAATCCTTAACTCTAAAGATCCTAAATCCTAAAATAAATAAATAAATAAAAACCTTTAAACTCTAATAAATCTTTTATTATCAGAGTGATCTAGAAAGAAGTCATTATCAATCTCTTGGCATTGCATGCATTTCTTTTTATTCTTCAGAAGAATAAAAGCAAGATGGAATTTCTTGAGAAAAAACTACGAGAAAATGAAGTCTTTAGTCTTTTCAAAAACATCTTCAAAACAGATCAAGGTGTTTTTTTTTTTTTCCTTTCTCTCATTATCCTCTTTGTCAATGGAATAGAAAAATCTTATTTGATGAATCCCAGAGCTCTTCAAAGGGGACCTGACAGTATGCAATTTGAGTGAGAGAGATCAAGCTTTCTAAGTATATTTTGTACATGGAAGAACAAAATGAAACACTAATCTGTGCTCCATTCTGATAGGCTGCCCCACCTATAGGCAGATTCCACTTCTGCTTCCTATAGGTAATATTGACTGCCACTAGGAAGGCTTGGGAAAGGTGAGGAAAGACAAAATCTTGAGATCCCACTTACTTCCTGCAGCCATTAGATACTGCCACTGTCAACCAATCTCAAAATACTTCGAAGCCTATAACTTTTTGATAAAATACTACTAGTAGTAACACTACTAGTAGTAGTAGTATCAGTAGTAGTAGTAGTCAAAACATTACTGGTACTTAATAAAATGTGGCTTTCATGTTATTCTCCACAGTGTATGCTAGCCTTTGTACCAGTTCTGAATGACTAGGTAACATTCTGCTAGGCACAGTTAATGTTCTTTGCAAGACGGCCAATGTATGGTTTTAGCAAAGAGCTGGGGATTCTTAGAGGAAGCACCTTTCCAAATATTTGACTCTTGGTTTAATCAGCAGTCTGTGGAGAGAGTGGCATGCCATTTATCTTCCTTTCAGCAACTCTGACAGCATTCAGGCAGACCCTTGTCAGGGTGCTCTGGGGAAGAGAGACAGCATCAGAATGGCCAAGTGTCAGCTTTTAGACATTCCAGATGCAAAAATGCAAGTCTCACGGTAGCATGTAATCCCAGTGTAATGTTCTATGTCGTTTATTTTTATTGAGCCTTCTGATTTGAAATCCAAAATAGCAGAAAGTTATATGGTTGAACAAATTCTGTCAACAATATGTAATCATTTGGGTTTCTTGATCTTTGAGAGAAGAAATTTGTCATAGCTCTATCTGTTTTGTTTCTATTTTCAATTTTCAAGGATTTGAGAATAAAACACTAACATAAAGACATGTGGTCAGAGTCAATAATGAAAGGCAAAACATTTTTAAGTAACATTAGAGAAATATTGCTCTTCAACAACACAGTTTTAAATGTGTTGCTTTATGAATATTTGAAGTTCTAATGAGACCCTATTGCCACATCCTTTTTCAAAAGTCTGATATTGAAAAAGGAAGGGATGAAAGAAGTTATTCTTTTTGTAGTCCTGTAATTCGATAATGTCATAGTTAAAAAAGTTAATGCTTAGCCAAACTTTCAGAAGGCCCTAGGTTACAGGGTTTAGTAGCTGAGATCCTCTTTGTAAATCAAAGACAGGTGCAAATGATGACTGCCACCTGCTAATGTGTAATCTCTAAGTATTTCTAGAACTTTTTGTCTGTGTGCAAACCAAATAGTTATAATGGGGAAAGAGGACAGAACAGTCCAGAATTTTATTTAAGGGTTTCCTGAAGTTGCACAAGAAAAAATGGGCTTATCCTCAGAATAACAGAAATGGGTCACAAAGAGAAAACACAGGCTCACTTCTCCAGGAAACTTTGACTTACGCACCAATAGACCATATGTAGTTTGTGTAGGCAGCTGCCTTCCAGGCTGCAGAAGCTCTAGAACATTCATCTTTTCCTCCCCAAACATACACACTAATCCAGTGCCACACATGATACCCATCATCCCTCACAGGTTCCTTTAGCATGGAACAGAGAAAGACTCCTGTGTGAGTTTGAATCCTGACTCTAGCATTTATGAGTTGACTTGAGGGTAATAAGAAATTGAACCTCTCAAAACCTGACATTCTTCTTCATTTGTAGAAGGAGGGAAATAATTATATCCACTGCATGTGATGGTGGAGACTACATAAGATAATTTCTTAGTATACTTTGTAACACACAATAAGAACTCTAAATCTAAGTTGCTCTTACTGTATTGTTTAATATTGTTATTAAACAGCTAGAAAAAGGAATTAAATAGCAAATACCCCTGGGGAGATACACATCAATGTCACTGGTAAAGGGAGGACCTTCGGTTTATAAAGTGTGAGAAAAGGATGGACCAAAGGAAACAGACCTTTCTGTTCTTTCTCATGCCTCATTATTTTGCTTAAAGGTGATTTCTTAACACAGACTCCTATTAGAATTTGTATTATCCTTTTTACACTCTATCTTTTAAAATTATGTCCTTTCTTATGTTTGTCTCATTTCCCCATTAGTCTAGGGCAATGTCTGAGATACAATAGGCCTCCAGAAATATTTGTTGAATGACTGATTTTAACTTTCAGAAATAAAAAACCCAGTTTCTACTTCTGCTTAGTAGAAAAGCTAATGGACCCCATTAGGTGCTTACCAAATGATTTTTAAAGCATTGGTTAAAGCAGATGGTTAAGTTTAAGGTGAGATTTCTCCATGTTTAAGGAACTGTATGGATAAAAGAAAGTTCTATACAATTCTTGAATGTTATTGAATGTTATAGGTGGTGTGGTGCCCAGTTTATTTCCATTCCAGCCTTACTTGTTAGCTAGTTAAATCGTTTAAAGATTCTTTCAGAAAAACAACTCAAATTTCTAGCCTCTTGAAAAGCATTAGAAAGGTTGAATAAGTTTATAATTCTACTAAAGTTCCATGGAGAAAAATCATTGAGAGCCTAAAATATAATTTATGTTTGTCCAGTCATTTGATCACAGAGTCTCTTTCTTAGATTCATCCTACCTTTAGTGAAGTGCTGCAGTGTTTCTTTTTCCTGTGTCTATAGCTTATTTGCAGCTGCATATTTTTATGTGATTGCTTACACTGTGCAAATAAATGTAAATTACTTTTCATTACACTCAGAGAAAGTAATGATCTTTTAAAAAATTCATGCAGATTTGTAGGCCCCCTAGTCTTGGTAAATGTACTAGAGATGTTTATTCTTATTTTGATGTTGAAAATATAATAGATGGTGTGATACAGCCAGATTGATTAATTCATTTTGTATGACTATTATATAATAGTTATTTCACCCATATGTAGTCTCCAATTTCCTCCTCGATTCCTAGTAACAGCCACAACCCCATCTTTCATTTTTATTACCTACCAGTTAATTGCACTAATAGGTTTTACTTTTCTTTTCTGCATGATTTTCATTAGAAAAACTGACAAGTGTTAACTCTTGCTACTTTTTAGTTGGTAAGCACTGCAAGCATTTTAGTCAGGGGTGAGCAATAAAAGTAAGTTTTTTAAACTTTAAAACATGTAAATGTGCTTCCTGGCCTCAAAATTTTAGTTGATTACTTCTAACTTTTACTTTTTTAGAAAAGAAGAGGCTTATTTGGGACCAATAAATTCTGCCAGGTAAGGATTATTGGTAGCTAGAACTTTGTGATAGGTTTTTGTTTTTGTTTTTCCTTTGAAAAGCTTTAGTGTTATTTCCTAATAAATCATAATTCTCTCAATCCGTAGACAAGTTTTTTGTGCAGTGTGAACTAACAAGCTAATTTAATGTGACTATTTAACAAGCACTTGTTCATTTAAAACATATATTTTAAATATTTTAATGAAGAGTGTTGAAAGCAGTCATTTTTCACAATTAAATGTCTGTGAAGGGCTGGAGCTGGAGCTCAGTAGCAGAGCACTTGACAATGTGTGACACATTGGGTTTGATCCTTAACATCACATAAAAATAAACAAATAAAATAAAAGCATTCTGTCCATACATAACTACAAAAAAATTAAAAATATAAAAAATAAATTTAAAAAGTCTATGAAATGCCAGTTGAATCTATAAAATACGAGTTTGTCAGGTAATTGCAATTCCTCCAGTGATTTACCTGAATACATATGAAATCATCATGTTTTGGACACATAGTTTGGCTCTGTTAAATTGGCTAATTTGAATTTACAACATTTTAAGAATTATGAGAATACTTTTTATTCATCCTGAATGCTTTATTCATTCTGAAATTTGGTACTTGAATAAAACAATTACCATTGATTTATATATTTATATCTACATATATATGTAGATATAAAATATATTTTTTTATTTATATATAATTATGTTTACAAAGAACTAACATCAATCACACTAACGGAAAAATTAAATATAAATGAATACCATAGTTGATATTTTCATTTAACTTTTACAACATTGTGGAAACACTGAAAACAAATATTTAGAATTTTACAACTTTCTTTTTAAAGAATCTGAAAACCTTTTATAGATCCTACTGAAATTCCCCAGATATTTGTTGTTATTGCATCAGATGACCAATATTGAAAACATCAACGTGACAGGGTCTGTTTACGTTTCAAATTGCAAAGTGGAACCTTCTTTTTTGTAACATTTAACATCTCTTAATTTAATCATGTCCCCAAAAATATTTCAACAAAAATTATAATTACAGAATTCTATGAGAATTATAAAAGAGATTTAGATGAGGGGAAAGTGGGTCTTTTCCCAAAATTCCTATAAGGAAGTAGAAAATCAAGTGGGAAATAGTGAATATTATTTAAGGGGATAATCTTTTGATATGATTAGTGACAAGTCATTCAAAAGATGGGAAGACAGCAAGTTATTGACAGATAAGTAGGAAGGGATAAAAGGGCTGTGTTTAGTTGATTTTGTGAAAAAAAAATTAGGATTATGTATATATACATAAGTAAAGCCAATCAATTCTGGCTAGTATCTTGAAAGAAAGCCCTTAGTTTGCTTTGCAGGAAATAGATGGCTGGGAACTTGCTTGCTCTTGTATGTGCAGTGCTCAGCCTCAGCTCATCTTTCAGGACCCAGAACACTCAACCTTGGGAACAGGAAGGGTTTTCAGATTCCCGTGGTGCCAATATGGGATTTGGGCAGAATAAAGTTTTGTTAGAAGTTACTTAAAAATATATGTAGGAAGCTAACAATCTGAAAAAATGTAAAGGAACATATATATTCAAGGATTGAAGTCCTCAATAGTTATCTTGGTTTACTAAAAGATTAAAGCTAGATTTTTGTAGATTTGTCTTTTATCTATTTTTCTATATTGTGTTAATGAAAACAACTAGCATATGTGTATTTATTTTAAGTAGTGAAAGTTTTTATTGTAAATGTTAATTTTCAATATATTTTTGAAATGAGTAGTAGAAAAGAATTAAAACTATGATTTTATGAATATTCTTGTTTATATTTTTTAAAATATATTTTAATTTGAGTTTTAAATAAAATATTAGTATTGAATGTGACAAAAATAATGAAAGCAGTATGGAGAAAATTAGTATTTGGGAAATACTCATATGCTTTTTTCCCATATATTTCACAAATCACCAGATGGAAAGTATTTTTTAGAACCTAGGAACAGAAAATATCTTAATAAAATATTTTGTCTTTTAACTGCAAAACTTTGGGATTTTTAAAAAATTCTGTCAAGTTTAGCCTATTTTATTTTTAAGCTTCTTCAAACTGATTTGCCATCTCTACTAATTAATTGTGCTCAGAAAATACAGTTTTATGTTTTGGGAATGGAATGGTCTTGAATGTATGAACTAGTGAACAAAGAAAGAAAGTAAACTAAGGTTTTATTTCTGACTTTTTGAGATTTTCTTTACCCCATAGAGTTTTATTATTATTATTCTCATTAAATAAAATGTAAAGACTGGGGCTGTAGCTCAGTGGTAGAGTGCTTGCTCAGCATGTGTGGTCTTGGTTTGATCCCCAGCATAAATAAAAAAATTAATCAGTTATAACCTTGAACAAAGTGAATCCCTGGATTTTTCTGGATATATTTTGTATTGGGTAGTTAAACATAATACTCTTCACATTTTTTTTAACTTTCTAAGTTATCATACATATTGATTTGGCGGGGAGGGTATGTGAATAGTTTTATGAACTTTGATATGTTTAGATTATGTAACCATAACTACAGTTAAGATATTAAAACAGTTCTATAACTTGAGAAAACTACCACTATATCTGTTCTCTATAGTGAGCATACATTATCTTGTCATTTTTCTTAAGCTTGTAGCCAAAGATAGGGTAATATACTCTTCAGTAACCCCTCAATTCACCCTCTTTTCCCCTGTATTTAAATTTTTCTAGATGCTAATTTTATACTTTGATCATTTATAATCATGATCAGGGATAGTATTCATTTCTCCTTTCTTATCGAATATCATCAGCTAATCCAATTCTAAACTCTAACCTCAGGAGATTTCCTAGATGATGGCGTCAGTTGATCCTTCCTTGTTCATGTTACATCTGTTTATGAGTAATGCTTTGTTCATCCGGCACATTGTTTTTTGAACTGCCAGTTGTCTGATGTTAATGCTGGAGATTATTATCTGGAATACCCAAGAGAATCACTGCTAGGTCTCTTTTTATAAATTCTGCAGTAGAGGTGTTTCTTCTTCTTAGTGTTGTGATGGCTGTGTGCCACTCTTTTGCTGTGACCAAGTACTTTCATCATTGTATATTTCTCTGAATATGTATGATATATGCAAGCCAAAAGGAGGAAAATCACAGGCGTTAAATCAAAACTTTACTTGACCAATATTTAAACAGGGTTGCATATTAACCAGTGTTATAGACATTTGAGTGTACAATTGTGACATGCATTTCCAGTAGAATGAATTTCAATCTATAGGATACGTAAGTTAATACATTTTTTTAAGATAAAGATTAACATTTTCTGTGCTGTAACAAGAGCCTGCTATTTATGATTTTATCATAAATTAAAAATAAGAACTTGAATGTGTCCGTAATAATCATTACTGAGGTCACTTGAAACCATTGTGAGTATTACCAGTTCTACAGGGAAAACATTAACAACTTAATTTTAACTCTGACTTTTGGATCTTAAGTTTCTGTTTTACGATTCTTTTAAGGATGTACAAGGTTCTTTTGTAGGTATTAGATTTCTTGGAATGTGGTGATTCTCTTGTGGTCTCTTCTTGTGTTGCAGTTTCAAAAAAGGTGGGGTTTTTGTCATTTGTTTTTGTTCTTAATTCTTGGAGTTAAGAACATTACTATTTAGTAAGAATCTTTATTATCTCTGTCTGGGAATTAAAATCTTTAGGAATACTAAAGATACTTTTATTTGCACACTGTTGTCTATCCTTCGAAGATAAAATTTGACTAATTTCAATCATTTGCTTTTCAGATGGATCCTGTGCAAAAAGCAGTCATTAACCACACATTTGGAGTATCCATTCCCCCAAAGAAGAAACAAGTTATTTCTTGTAATGTCTGTCAGCTTCGCTTTAACTCAGATGTGAGTATCATCTTTTCATTGTCCCCTGTGTTTTGTCAAGCTGGAAGTCTAATCGGTCTTAATCTTGTACATCTCTTCATATTTGCACACTCTCTAGTAGCCCTTCCTATTGCTAGCCTACTCATTTTCGTGTGCCAGATTTCTAAGGGATTTGAGTTCAATTTTTTAAACTTGAAAATAGAAGAAATGATTGATATCAGAAATTAAGAATTTCTCTATGTAATCAGCCTCACTTATACCTTTTACATTTAATCTCACCAATCATATTGTCAAAAATAGTCAAATAGCAAAAAATAGAAAAAATTAAAAAGAAATGAATGCTGAAGAAAACCATTGCTATTACTTTCAATATGAAGTGTCACATTTCATATGTGTGCAAAATCTTGTTAAATACCTTAGAGAATAATTTACTATGTAATTCAGATTTTTCTAGAACATGGAAATACAGGGAAAGCTTCATAATTTGCCTCATCTGGCCAGCATAATCATCCTGTTAAAAGAGGAGGAGTGACAAAAATCAATCTTTTTAATAAAAGTAGATTTTTAAAATGTGTAAATAAAGTAATAGGAAAGCAAAACAAATAATAGTAGAATATTTTTAATATCAAATTATTAGGTAAAGCCAATTACCAATATAAATCAGAATCTGAAGGCTGCATATCATTTCTGGTAATTCTTGGGTTACTCAACCCCAGAAGCCATTTTACAAAGAGCATGCTACAGGATTAATGTTTTTCAGTAATATTAAATTATAGATATCTTTTTTCACATATACTATTAAATGATATTTTTATAATTTTACATAGTAAACATAATAAAATGATTGTCCTTAGGAAAAAGGAGATGTTTGTCATGATTTACAAAATTATATTTAATACAATCAGAAATTCTATGAAATTTTTTGGTACCTGATAAAATTTTATCTTCAAGAATTTAATATAGGGTTGGGTGTGGTGGCACATGCCTATAATCCCAGTGTTTTAGGAGGCTGAGGCAGGAGGATCACAAGTTCAAAGCCAGCCTCAGCAACTTAGACCATAAGCAACTCAGTAAGACCCTGTCTGTAAACAAAATACAAAAAAAGGCTGGGGATGTGGCTCAGTGGCAAAGTGCCTCAGAGTTCAATCCCAGGTACCAAAATAATAATAATAATAATAATATACCTAAATAAACTGAGAAAAATATGGTTTTAATTCATTTAAAGGCTCAATACTGATGATGTCGGTTCTCCCCAAACTATAGACCCATCAGTATCCTGATCAAATCACCAAAGACTTTTTTTTTTGGTGGAAAATTACACAATTTCTTAAATGTACACAGAAAAGAAAATCACTGGACAACACAAGCATTTTTAAGTACAAATTTTTAAAGCTTTCATTTCCTTATTTCAGTACTTACTATAAAATCTATAGTAATTGAGACTATAAAATTGGAGAAAGAATACTAGACACATTGAGCAATGGAGGAGGACAGAGTCCAGAAAACCTTTATGTGCCTATGTAGTCACTTGTCAATAACCTTGCAGAAGTACTTCAGAAATAATGCTAGAACAACTAGATATGCACATGCAAATTTTTAAAAAAGAACCTTGACTGCTACCTCATATGAAACATAAGAATTAATTCAAATGGATCATATAAATTTAAAACTAGAATGTCTAGAAGAAATGATAGAACATCTATTTGACCTTTTGTTAGACAAAAATTTCTTAGATAGGAAACAAAAAACATAAACTATAAAAATATTGACATATTGGGTTTCATCAAAATTTTAAAATTCTGTTCTTTGGATGACATTATTACACTCTTAAGAAAATGAAAAAAACAAGTATAGACTATAAGAAAAAGACTTGTATATGAAACTACTAAGGACTTATATATGAAACACTTAAGTAACATAAATTCATTAATAAATTATTTGAACCATCATTTAACAAAGAAGAAATATGAAAGACAAGCACGTAAAAATTCTCAACATGATCAACCATATATTATATTTATTACAGAAATGCAGATTAAAACCACAATCAAATATCATTTTACCTATTAGAAGAATTAAAATTATAATCCCGGTGACAGAAGAGGCTAAGGCAGGAGGATTACATGTTCAAAGGCAGCCTCAGCAACTTAGTGAGACCCTGCCTCAAAATAAAAAAGGGCTGGGGATGTGATTCAGTGTTTAAGAGCCTCTGGATTCAATTCCCGGTACTAAAACAAACTAACAAACAAACAAAGAAGTGGGAAATTAAATTAATTGAAGGTACCAAGAGGCTAGGATGAGGAGCAACTAGAACTCTCATACATAATGAGAATACAAAATGGTGTGGCCACTTTGTAAAACAATTTGGCAATTATTTATAAGAAATTTTATGAAATTATGCATGCATTCCCCATGTGACCCAGCAATCTTGCATTTAGGTATTTATCCAAAATAAATAAAAACAAATATTCCTATATATGTGATGTTTAAAGTAACTTTATTCATGACCATCCAAAATTGAAATCAACCCAACTATCCATCAGCTGATGGAGAAACAAACAATGTAGCCATACAATGGAATACCACTCAGAAATAAAAAGAAATAAAGTACTCATGCATGCTACAACATGGAAAAAACTCAAGGCAACATGCAAAATGAAAGAAGTTGAACACAAAGACTACACACAGTACAGCCGCACTTGCTTTACTTTCTCAAAAGACAAAACTATGGGAATAGTCAGATCAGCGTTTCACTGAGGCTGAGGGTAAGATTAGACAATTGTGCGCAAAAGGGCATGAGAGAACTCTTGAGTGATGAGCATATCTTATACCTTCAGTGCTATAGTGGTTACATGACTGTCTTTGTTTTTTATTTTTATTTTTTTAATATTTATTTTTTAGTTGTAGTTGGATATAATATCTTTAATTAATTAATTAATTTTCATGTGATGCTGAGGATCGAACCCAAGTCCTTGCCCATGCTAGGCGAGCGTTCTACCACTGAGCCACAACCCCAGCCCTGTCTTTGCTTTTTAAAAACCATACAACTGAATATCTTTAAAGGAATTTATATATACCTTATTAAACCTGACTAGGAATAATTAATGATATGTGCCACAAAATATTTTATGAATAAAAGATTAATTTATAATGGGGATATAACTACTAAATGCAGTAGACCATGATATTACTAGTAGATTTAAGGCATAATAAAGAACTTTTCCAAGAACAGCCAGAATAATAAATACTGAAATACATCCAAGTATATTTAGCAGTTTTACACACTTATTGTCCAAATTTTTATAGTTACATAGAAAAATTAAAGCCTCACCTCCATAACTGTATGAATATAAAATTAAAATGTCCCAATACTTAACAGGCCTCTTGAAAATGAATACCCACCTAAAGACATGCTCCATCTCTAACACTAGCCTTCTCACTGCAGCAATGCTAGATTTTGAGAAGATCTCACAGTACAATACAAATGGATTTCAAAATAAAATTTTCAAAGTGTCGCAAAGATGTAGAATTTCATGAAGCCCAAGAATATAAAGTTAGAGAATTGTTTGTTATAAAGCCACTAAAAAAATGAGGATTTGCCTGTTAAGATTTGAGTTTTAAAGAAGAAAAAATAACAAAACTGTTGATAGGCTCTTCAAAACAGAAGGTTTTGAGAGTCAAGTTAATAATGGGATCTTGGGGCAATTTTGAATCATTCGAGTTAAAGAAACATGTTTTCATAGTTCAAAAAGTGTAATGATTTTAAAAGATACGTTGAAAAATCTTGTTCTGTCCCATTCTCAATCTTCCTACCATCCTTGCCATCATTTCCAGTTTTTAGCCTCTTTAAATTTTTGCATATCTCTCCAGAGTTTGCTTATGTAACACCAACTAAATGTGAACATATATTTTTATTTCCTTCCTTTTCTACATATTATTTATGCTTTTCTTTGCTATGTATTTTTTTACAAAATAAAAAATAAAAATAATAATACCTTGGAGAATTTTCCCTCTCACAATGTAGAGAGCTTCCTTTCTCTTCTTTCACAAATGTGGTAGACAAAGATTTCCACGTCTTAAACCCCGAAACCTAATATATTGATATGTTACTGTACCTGGTGAAGAGGAATAAGAGTGCTAATAAGATGGCCCTAAAACACCACCAACAAAAAATCATCCGGGATAATGTAATGACAAGGCTATTTGAAAATAGAAGAGGTAACTGGAGTAATGCAATGTAAGAAGAACTTGACTGGCCATTGTTAGCTTTAAAAGTAAAAAAAGGTTGGCGGGCAGCAGCGGACAAGGTAAGGAATGTTGGCAGCCTCTAGAAGCTGGGAAAGGAAGGAAGTTAATTTGCCCCTAGAATCTCCAGAAGGGAAAGCGGTCCTGCTACCCGCTTGATTTTAGCCCAGTGAGACCTACATCAGACTTCTCACCATCTAAACTGTAAAACAATAAATTTGTATGTTTTAGTTTTATGATAATTTGCTGTGAAAGTAATAGATAACATAGTCTACATATGTATGTATTATAATTTATTTAACTCATCCCTTATAGATAGACACTTGGGTTTCCCATCTTTTAGTATTTAATAGGTTTTTATAGTCGATATAGTCAGTAAATGACAGAGCTAGGACAAAAATCTGGGTATCTTGCCTCTAAATCCACAGTTCTTCATATTATGTTGTCTCTCATAACTTTATTTATTTTCTGAGAATTTGACTCCCCCTCAATGACAAACACTTTGCTAGGCTCCAGAATCCAGCAGCAACTTTTACTGTCAAACAATAGGAATAAGAATATCTAGAATTTGTCCTTAATCTACAACCCCCAGAATGTGTTTTGGGTCTCCTATTCTGTGTTTTTCTTAGTCCAAGGTTAGTGATATAGAACACTAGACTAAGAGTCCTTGAACATGAACATTAAGTCCTAATTCTGAACTTGGTGAATCACTTCAAAATTATCAACCTGTTTCCTCTTCTCTAATAAGACCTGAAATGAACCTGACCTTTGGGAGG